CAGAAACCTGCAGGTCTGAATACTTTTAAATCCAGGCTGAAGACTTTTCTTTTTGTCGCTGCTTTTAATTGAACTATTCATATCTTAGACTGCACTGTAACTTTTATCCATGTACTTTTTTCTTTTAATGTTTAATTGACTGCACTGTAACTTTTATCCATATATTTTTTCTTTAATGTTTATTTTATTAGCTTTTCTTTTTAATGACTGATTTTAAATGCCATTTTCTTAATCTCTTTCATTTTTTGTAAAGCACATTGAATTGCCTTGTGTTGAAAAGTGCTATATAAATAAACTTGCCTTGCCTATAAAAGTTACAGTGCAGTTTAAGATATGAATAGTTCAATTAAAAGCAGCGACAAAAAGAAAAGTCTTCAGCCTGGATTTAAAAGTATTCAGAGTTGCAGCGGACCTGCAGGTTTCTGGGAGTTTGTTCCAGATATTTGGAGCATAATAACTGAACGCTGCTTCTCCATGTTTAGTTTTGACTCTGGGGACAGAAAGCTGACCAGTCCCTGAAGACCTGAGAGATCTGGATGGTTCATAATTTAGCAGGAGGTCAGTAATGTATTTTGGGCATAAACCATTCAGTGCTTTATAAACCAGTAGCAATATTTTGAAATCTATTCTTTGACACACAGGAAGCCAGCGTAAAGACTTCAGAACAGGAGTGATGTGATTCACTTTCTTAGTGTTAGTGAGGACTCGAGCAGCGGCGTTCTGAATCAGCTGCAGCTTTCTAATAGATTTTTTTTAGTGAGACCTGTGAAGACACCATTGCAGTAGTCGAGTCTACTGAAGATAAAAGCATGGACAAGTTTTTCCAAATCCTGCTGTGAGATTAGTCTTTTAATCCTAGATATATTCTTTAGGTGATAGTAGGCTGATTTAGTAACTGTTTTAATGTGACTGTTGAAACTCAGGTCAGAGTCCATGACTACACCTAGATTTCTGGCTTTATCTGTTGTTTTGAACATTGCACACTGAAGCTCAGCGCTAACTTTCATACGTTCTGACTTGGCTCCAAAAACCATTACCTCAGTTTTATCTTTGTTTAATTGGAGAAAGTTCTGACACATCCAGTCATTGATTTGTTCAATGCACTTACTCAGAGTTTGAATTGGAGCATAGTCTCCTGGTGAAATGGTTACGTAAATGTGTGTGTCATCTGCATAGCTATGGTAACTTATTTAGTTGTTTTCATTATCTGAGCCTGTTGTAGCATGGAGATGTTAAAGAGAAGAGGCCCCAAGATGGAGCCTTGAGGAACCCCACATGTCATATTTGTCAACTCAGATGTGTATTTACCTATAGAAACAAAGTTGTTTCTGTCCTTTAAGTAGGAGTCAAACCAATTTAGAACTGTTTCCGAAAGTCCCACCCAGTTTTCCAGTCGGTCTAGTAATATGCTGTGGTCAACAGTGTCAAACGCAGCACTGAGATCTAATAATACTAACACTGAAGTTCTGCCACTGTCTGTGTTTAAGTGGATGTCATTAAAGACCTTTACAAGAGCAGTCTCAGTGCTGTGGTTTGGACGAAAGCCTGACTGGAACACATCGAAACAGTTATTTAAATGCAAGAAATTACTCAACTGTTGAAAAACAACTTTTTCAATGATTTTACCTAGAAATGGGAGGTTTGATATGGGCCTGTAATTGTTCATTACTGAAGCATCTAGATTATTCTTTTTTAAGAGCAGTTTAATGACTGCAGTTTTCAGGGCCTGTGGAAAAATACCTGAGTGAAGAGATTTGTTTACTATATGAAGTAGATCTGAGGCCATGCAACGAAAAACATCTTTGAAAAATCCTGTTGGAATAATATCAAGGGCAGCAGGAGGAGGATTTCAGAAGTTGTATAATGTTCTCTAGGTTTTTATCATTAATCTGATGGAATTGTGTCATGGTGTTTGAATTGATGTTAGGTGGACATAGGGACAACACATTTGCTGTTCCTGATGCAGAGGCACTGACTGCTTGTCTGATTTTCTGAATTTTGTCAGTGAAAAAGGAAGCAAAATCATTGCACGCCCTGGTGGATAGAAATTCAGAGGCTACTGACACTGGGGGGTTAGTTAGTCTGTCGACGGTAGCAAACGAGGCACGTGCGTTGTTTTTGTTTTTGGTAATGATGTCAGAGAAGAACGATTGTCGTGCGTTTTTCAATTCCAAATTATAAGGGCCAAGTCTCTCTTTAGAAATGTCAAAGTGAACCTGGAGATTTGTTTTTCGCCACCTGCGTTCAGCTTTTCGACATTCTCTTTTTTCTGTTTTCACGGTCATGGCCTTTCTCCATGGAGATATTTTCTTGCCAGACACTTCCTTTACCTTAGTTGGAGCAATGGCATCTATAACATTTTTAATTTTTGAATTAAAATGATCTACTAGCTCATTTACTGAGATGTTAGCAGGGGCAAGTGTGGAAGAAAAATTCTGAGTAAACATTTCCCTAGTGTTTTCAGTTAATATCGCTTTGTGGTTACCTCTTTTTGAACATTTTTGTGAACAGAAATAGAGCTCTCAAAGAAAACACAGGAATGGTCCAGAGAGTGCAACATCAGTCACCACAACCTCAGAGATATTCAGACCCTTTGAGATAATTAAGTCCAGAGTGTGCCCCTTATTGTGCGTGGGCTCCGTCACATGCTGAGTCAGTCCATAGCTATCAAGAACACAAAACAGTTTTGCCCCTCTGTCCTGGGGGTTGTCAACATGGATGTTAAAATCACAACAATGACTAGACGGTCAAAGTCATACACACTATAGACAGCAGTTCAGTAAAGTCATCAAAAAAGCTTGCACAGTATTTGGGTGGTCTATAGATATTTAGGAACAGAGCTCGAGAGGAGCATTTCAGCTGAAGGGCCACATATTCAAAAGAATCAAAGTTTCCATACGATGTCTTCCTGCATTGAAGGGAATCATTGAACAGAATAAAGTAAGTAAATTGATAAGCCTGAACATACACTTGTCAAGGTTCAGAGGCACATTTTGCAAATACGGCAGTAGCCATCGATCAGCTTAAGATAAGATATACTTTATTGATCCCAAGTTGGAACATGTGCGTTACATCAGCATGTGTAACAGTTGTAAATATGCAGTGGTGTTTATTTGTAAATCATTTAGTATAATCACACAAATTCTGTGTTTTATATTTAACAATTCTGTGTTCTTTATTTATTGATTGTTCAATAACTGACAAGGCTGGAGATGAAATATCTACATACATCTTATAAGAGTATAATACATTATGTATAATATCAGTTAAAACTAAGTGCTTCAACATAGTTAACATTGCTGGAGGTATGCACAAATATTGATAGATGTCTTGTAATGCACTATTGAGGAACCTGCGACCCAAGTTTTTTATTCAATGCAGAACTACACCATAGTTGTGTAGGCCTATATGATATGTCAATAAACCTTAGAAAATCTTGAAATCTTGAAAGGGATGTGCAAAATAGTCATTATATACAGTCTTTAATTAACTATTAGTAGAGGAATAACGAGTAATGAATATACTTTATAGGGATCCTATTAATATCTAATAATACAAATAATGAAATTCAAATAACATGCTTTAACCACTAGGGTGTCCCTTTATATCAGCTGTGCACCTTATGGTGTAATACAGCCTATCTACCAATTGGATCAAATATAAAAGTCAGCCGAATTAGTGTTGATACTGCAAGGAGACGTATTGTGTGAAAAGAAAATGTAAGATGTTGTTTAAGGGCTGATATATTTATGATCCACGTCACGTTTTCAGTTCCCTCGTGTTTGTCTAGAAGTCTTTTCATCAGGGCTCTATAAATACAGAACTACGGCAGATATGTAATATTTAATGCAGCCGAACCGTGTATTACAATGGCGTTATGTGATGACCTCCAAAGAGAAAAGCAAGCACACCCGGAATAAAGTGTTTTATTTTTTAAAAATGTTTTCGGTCTGTTTCCGGTATTTGTTAATGACGATGTGCTCTGAGATGTGAGACTGGAATTGCACAGGGGAAAATAACGTAGGCTATCTTTAGATGCGGATTTTGTTAAACTAATATGTTTGCGCTGTGGACCAACACTATACATTGACGGGGAAGGGGGTAGCAATAAAGATAACACCATTAAACAGTTACACACATAACAGAAAATAATATCGATAGCAGCGTCCCTAGCAACCACCTTGGTAACAATGAAAACGTCGCGATTTCCTGAAGTAATCTTCGTAATAACTAGCAAACTAAAGATCATGTACATCCACTGCACACATAATCTGAAATAACAACTCATATTTCTCGCATCAAATGACATCAACGCATTTTAATGGCCAGACTAACTTTAAAATAGGCATTTTCCACCGAGAATAAAACGAAGTTCGGCCCATTTTTCTTTTTCTGCAGGGAGAAATTTGAAGATCACGTGACATAGACGCCAGCCATTGGAATGAATGGTGAAAAAAAACGGGGTTTGTCAAACAGAGCACATGGTGTAGTCCAAACGATAGCTGGGGATTCTGGGTAGTGTAGTGTCTTTTGCCATCCTTTACTCCGACAAACATATTTGTTTCTCCGAATCGAAGGGGAAAAATACAAAAGCATTGCACACAATTTAAACCAATCAATGTTGTGTAATTAACAAGGATAATCTGGTGTTTTTAGTCGATGAGTAGAGCAGATATCACTGTAAAATCAATCGACAGTAAGGGGAATACTTACTTCCGGGTGTACAATTCTCCGTTATCCAATGGGAATGGACGCTCACATTGCCTTTAAGGGCAGCCGACACAAACGAATGCCGGTGCTTCCATGAGTGTCAAATCCCGCCGCAGATGGGAATACATTGCAATCAGTTGAAAGCTATTTGCGTCCCTTTATGAAGCTGAAGGAGCCTAGGAGCGTCACAACTGGACGCCACGGACACTGACCAAACGTCGCTCCTGGACGCTTAGGGAGTGTTACGTTCCCACTTGGCTAGGGTACAAACGGGAAACGACACGACCAGATTGGATTTGGTATATTTGTTACCGGTGGTTTTATTGTCACTGAAACTAGGCAAAATGATGGTCACACAGATTGGCCCCACAACACGGGTCAATCTGTCACTATAATACAACACAAAGGGTCTCCAAAAGAGAGTTACCCCGCTATAGAAAGAAAAACAAATCTCACTACTCAAGTGGAAACGAGCAATAAACAAAACGGGACTGTGGAAACACACAGCTGGTGCGGGTCTACAGGTGCTAATCACCTGGCTCTACGCAATATCCACTCACAGGAACGCTGGTCTACAGGTGCTAATCAACCTGGATCTAAGCAGTATGAACACACAGGAATGCTGGTCTACAGGTGCTAATCAACCTGGATCTAAGCAGTATGAACACACAGGAATGCTGGTCTACAGGTGCTAATCAACCTGGATCTAAGCAGTATACACACACACAAAATCCCTACGCTAACACAGAACCCGACGACACACTGCTACTCAGTGTGCTCGCCTAGAACCCTACTATAGACACTGCTAATCAGTGGAGCTAATACCAAAGACACACGCTAAATCTCAGAATTCACAGAAAGAAGGCTTATCACAAGGATAGGGTTGAGGCATCTGACACAAAATACAGAGCCTCCCGACTTCTTCTTCTTCTTCTTCTCTTTAATGGTGAATCGCTTCCACTTGGAGCATATATCGCCACCTACTGTTGAGTTATTAAATGTTCATATTAAATCCTTGTCCTCAAACCAGTGCTTTTGAGGAATTTGAAGATCAGCTTGTTTGCTTCATTTCTTGATTTACTTTCATATATTGATTTGAAATCCATGTCCTTGATGTTGAGTTGTTCCAGTGCAGTTTTCAGAATGAGTCTTTGCCTTGTATATTCCGGGCAGCTAAAAAATACATGCTGTATTGTCTCTGGTTGTTGGCAACCATCACAATTGCCATTTGGATGCTTCCCAATCAGATGCAGTGATGAGTTTAATCCAGAGTGTCCCAATTTTATCCTGCTGTTAATGCTCTGTTCTCTTCTACTACTCCCCCAAGTGCTTCCTGTTCCTACTTCCCTTTGTATCTGGTATAAATGTCTTCCTTTGATGTTACTGTCCCATAGTTTTTGCCATTGTTGCTTGATACCCACTTTTGTAACAGATTTGACTTCTGATCGACTGATGGGTACAATTATATCAATCTGGTTTGCTTTCAAACCACATTTTGCCAGTTGATCCACTACTTCATTCCCTCTAATACCCACATGCGCTGGAACCCACACAAATTGAACAACAATTCCCAGATGAACTAACCTAAACATGATGTGTAAAATGTCATGTAAAATATCCTGACGACATTCTGAAGAGAAGTTGTTTATGCTCTCCAGAGCTGCACTGGAGTCAGAGCAAATGACCACTCGCATTGGCTGTATTTCCTCTACCCACTGAAGTGCTAGTGAGATAGCCATCATCTCTACTGTATATACTGCAATGTGATCACTCGTACGCTTTCCCACTTTTACTTTTAATTCAGGAACATAAAATGCACAACTTGTTAGACCATTTTCTGGATCTTTGGATCCATCAGTAAATATTTGTATAAACTGCCCATATTGTTCATGTAGAACAGTGTTCACATAAGCCTGTACATTGATTTTGTTTTTCATTGAATGTAACCGTTTCAATAGTGATAAATCTACTATAGGTTGAGGTAGCAACCATGGTGGAACAGCTGATAACACCACCGTCGGACTAATACTCCATTCTTTAACTTTGAATTCCTTACATATTTCCGAAACACAAACACAAAAACTTTCTTTTTTTATTTTGTTACTTTCCCAACTTGTTTGTACAGTTTGTTTGGTAGGGTGAGTATCTTTATGGCCCTGAAGATTTGCCCAGTAATGAACAATTAACTGTTTTCTCCTCAAAGAAATTGGTATTTCTCCGACCTCTACCTGAAGTGCAGACACTGGTGTAGATTTGACTGCCCCACAGCATATCCTTAGTGCTTGTGCCTGGACTCTATCTAATTTTTGAAGAGAAGAATATGCAGCTGAACCATACACTATTAGTCCGTATTCTATGGCTGATCTTATTAAGGCTGTGTATACGTTCCTCAAAGCAGCTTTATCAGCCCCCCACTTAGTGCCTGCCAAGCACCTCATAACATTTAAAACCCTTTTACATTTATCCACTACTTTATCAATGTGCGTACTCCATGTGACTCTCTCGTCCAACCATATTCCCAGAAATTTAAATGTCTTCACTTTCTTTAGATCTTGTCCATAAAGTTTTAACCTAACCTCCTCACTTATCCTTTTCCTCGTAAAAAATAAAGTTTCAGTTTTTTCCACCGACAATCTAAACCCCCATGTCAGAGACCAGCTTTCAATTTCCGTAATGGCTTCCTGAATCTTAGCTACAATATATTTTACATTTCTGCCCCTTTTCCAAATAGCTCCATCATCTGCAAAAAGTGACTTACCAATATCAGATCCTACTTGTGTGTACATATCATTTATCATGATAGAAAACAAAAGAGGACTAATTACACTCCCCTGCGGGGTTCCATTTTCAACGTCATGCCTTCGAGAATATGAATTGCCAACTCGGACTCTGATGGCACGGCCAAACAAAAAATCCATAATCCAATTATATACATTACCTCCCAGACCCATAATGTCCAGTTTTATTAATAATCCTTCCTTCCACATCATATCGTAAGCTTTTTCCACATCAAAGAATACAGCTACAACACACTCCTTATTCGCTTGTGCTTTCCTTACTTCAGACTCCAGGCACAGCAATGGATCTAAAGTACTCCGCCCTCTTCTAAACCCACTCTGATAAGGAGTCATTAGTTCATTTTTTCTCAATGTAGTATGTCAGCCTTTCTGTTATCATTCTTTCCATAACTTTACACAAGTGCGATGTCAGAGCTATAGGTCTATAACTGCCTGGACTGGTTGGATCTTTCCCAGGTTTTCTAATAGGAATAATGACAGACTCTTTCCATATTATTGGCAGCTTCCCTTTCTCCCAAATCTTATTGTACATCTCCAGCAGCTTTTCTAATGCAAAATCACTTAATTTGGTCAACATTATATAGCATACATTATCTTTCCCAGGAGCAGTCATTTTACACTTACTTAATGCTCTTCTCACCTCTTGAATAGAAAAAGGTATATTTACAACACTCTGCGACGAATGTCTATCTTCATATACATTAGGATGTTCATCTAACACTTCCTGCCTCCTGATCTTACCTTCTTCTGTCAAATTTTCCGAAGAATGAACTTTGACAAAATTCTTAGCTAGAATTTCTGCCTTCTCCATCCATAGCACCGGTGGCAATTTCCCCTCCATTCTCTAACACTGGCAGGTTACTCTGCTGTCTTATTCCCCTCATCTTCTTAACCATTCCCCATACTTTATCTAATGGTGTAGTTCTCCCAATACTTGAACAGAATCCTCTCCAACACTCCCTTTTTGCTCTTTTAAACAATGTTCCTTACCTGAGCCTGTGCCTTTTTATATTCTAATAAATTGTGTAATGAATGTGTCTTTCTTAGCTTTCCAAACAGCCTGATTTTGTTTCGAATTGCATCATTACATTCTTTGTTCCACCACGGTACCATCTTAACACATTTACTAAGTTTACCAGTTTTATTCCCAATAGTTTGATTAGCGCTTTTAATTATATTTGAAGTAAATTGTTCATTTATTTCATCAATACTTCCTGCCATATCAATCTGATCAAATTCTTTATCACACAATTTAGCAAACATCTCCCAATTTGCTTTAGAAAAGGTCCATCTCATGATACCATCTAGCTCAACCACATTACTAATATCAAACTTGATTATAATCGGAAGATGATCACTCCCAATACTGTTATTTGCCAATACTTCCCAACTGCTACCCGAAGCTAATTCACTTGTTACAAGAGTTCGGTCGATCGCAGACTCTGTTCCATCTCTAAAATTGAGTCTTGTACCTTGCCCATTATTTAAACAAACAAATTCCTTTGCCTCCATTAAGTCTTCCACCACCTGTCCGTTGTAATCTGTTGATCTCCCTCCCCACATTGTATTATGTGCATTAAAATCACCACACCATATTATTTCATTTCCTTGGCAAAGACTGTCTAATTCCTCTATTTTGAGTTTATTACATGGATTATAAAAATTCAGGACACTAATTTTCCTTTTATTAATCCAAACTTCTACACCCACTATTTCTAAATCATGACTGTTCTTAAATGTTAGCCTACTATAAGACATTACTTCTCTGATAAAGATTGCACATCCCCCTCCCTGGCCATCATTTCTATCTTGTCTTATATCTTGTCTTGTCAGTATATCCCCCAATTATGAAGTCCAAATGAGTCTTCAGCCATGTTTCTTGAATACAAATAACATCTGGTTTTTCTTTTAACTGATATATATAAGTCTTGAATTCTTGTCCATTTGCAATAAGGCTTCTAGCATTCCACTGCAGAATGAGAAAAACCATTCATCTACTCACTAATCTGTGAATCATCATTATTGGGGGCTAGCATATCATGCATCATTTCAACGGTTATATCCTTTATCCCCAAAAATTCACCTGCTGCTTCCACTATTGTTTTCAGTCTTGACCTCTTTTTTGTTTGTTGCAAAGCAACATTCACCACTTTCCCAATAAAGGCCACAAATTTGTACTTATTAACAATCAATGCATCCTCTCCTATCACACATTTATGTGAACACTTTGTGAAGCTTTCCTTTGCCTGTGTGAGTTTGGGAAAATCTTTTGAAGAGAATATACTTGTTGCTACTTGGGATTTCCTAGCTATGTTTAGGGAAACCTTTTCTGTTGCTTCAGCATATGATACTTTATTTTGCACTTTGAATCTCTGCACCTCCTTGGCCTTTTCTGCACTTCGCAGCCCTGATACGCAGCACTATGTTCCCCACCACAGTTACAACATTTCACCTTAGCACCTGCAGCACAACTACCATATTCATGTTCCCCCGCACATGTTGGACACCTGGGCTTAGTTGCTTTGCACTTGTCTGCCACATGACCAAACCTTTGGCATTTAAAGCACCGCAGAGGTTTAGGGATGAATTCTCTTACTGGAAAGCTCATGCAACCGATCATTATCTTCTGTTGAATTGTTTCTTCAAACTGAAGAAGAACAGACAAACTATCCACTATCTTACCCTGATACCTAGTAGGAAGACGCTTAACTACAGACACTTTCCCCCCTTTAATTTCTTTCTTGAGCTCTTCTATGCCGATTTCTATGGGAACTCCACTGATAACTCCAAGTATTTTCCGATTTGCTCCAGGAACATGGCATTTAATTCGAACTTCATTCAGGGTCTTCATTTTCAGTAACTTTTCCTGTTGTTTTGCATTCATCAATTCAATCAACATCCGTCCTTTGCTCAGGAATCTTGCTTGCTTTATCGATCCAATTTCTTTGTGAATTGCTTTAGTCAGGGCCACTGGATGTAGCTTAGCTGCGGTTTGCTCACCAAACTCCACAATCACTTTCCAATCTTCTTTCTCATTCTTTTTCTTTACTCTCTTCAACTCATTCCGT